ATTAAGTATGAAAAAAAGAACAATATCTTGATAATCAAGCCGCTGGAAGTTTTATAGAACAGTAGATATCTCATATAATCCAAGTCAACGTCGGTGTTTAATCTAATCGGCTGCCCTCTACCGATAGATGTTAGCCGATTGTAGGTTAGATAGCGATATTGCCAAAGATTATGTAAGATATATGATAACTCGACGAATTACATAAATAAGATTAGAGTGTCATAAAGATGGAAGCACTAATCCCGAGAACGCAAGCCGTCATAACAAGTTTTACCTCTTATTGAAGATCGAAACTGATGCAGCTCAACCCGAAATCAAGAACTCGTCGAAATAAAACTAAAGCAAAAAGGGCGGCGATGCGCCGAGATTGTGTTGAACGTGTATGTTAATTGATTACATGGGGTTCGGGGTCTATTTATATCCGAAAATTACAAACTATGTCCATATCGGACACGTCTCTTATCTCTAACAAACTATAAGATACCACAAGTCTTTGCGGCAGACTTTTGCCCAAACGTATCTCTAAGGAATTTACATAAAATATCCTAATTAATAGATACAATTGCCTTCTCAGGACTCTATCCATGTGCGGCAATCATCTTGAAGCATATCAACTCAACCCGATGTTGTACATCGAGTCATATTGTCAGAATCGGCCGTATCGGCTCACACAATCTGATTCGGACCCAGCCGATCCTGTTCATAGCCGATCCGGACTTCAGCCGATTCTTGCTCTATTCTCGAACCGATCTTTGCCTTCTACTCCACTTCGATCTAATCCTCTTTTCCGATGCTGATATTACCAAATTTGGTCGTTAACACGCGGTGAAGCAGAACACCATCGGCCGCCTCTTCTTGTCCTTCCGATGGAGCAGCATCGGTGATTTGGCCGACATCCGTTCCGCCTTCTCCTCCTCCTCCTGCCCGCCGCCGCTCCCCACCGCCACTGCTCCCCTCCGCCTTGTCCCCACCGCCACCGCTCCGGAGAAAGAGATAAGGGAGAGAGACGGGGAGGAAGAAGGGAAGGAGAGGGAGGATGACATGTGTGTCCCACATGTCAGTGGTCCCACAATACTTTTTTATGTGAATGACATGTGGATCCCACATTTTTTTATTTTTGTTTTTATTCTAATGCTACGTAAGCGTCACGTATGACAAAGACTCGGTTAAGAGTTAAGATCACCACGTAGGCGTCACGTCAGCCAAAACCACCTCGAAAACCATCGAGGGACATTGTTTGTACTGGTTTTGATAGTTGGAGGAGCCGATATATCTGGTTTTATGGTTGGAGGATATGAATCATACTCCAGGCGGTAGTTGAGGGAGTCCAAATATACTTTTTCCTTATCAAAAACTATCAACTTGTGATGGCATTATTTGGGCCTTCACTAAGAAGCTGGAGTAAAGCCGAACTCAGTTTCTTCTTCCCTCTCACTTCTGAGCTGATAAGCCCAGCACTCTCTGATCAGGTCCAAGTCCAAGGCGTTAAAAGGAAAGGAAAAAAAAACTCTCCACCCCGCGCGGCGCGGATCAAGCCGGAGTTTGAGCATGGGAGTGCGTGCCGAGTCTTCTGAGACGACCGCGATAATTGTAGCCGGGAGGGCCGGAAAAAAGGCAGACCAGATGACAATAATCTCATCTCATCTGGAGCAAATGGTCAAGCAGACATACTCCATGGAGAGAGAGAAAGCGCAAAGGAAGAAGAAACAGCCCAGACGAAGGAAGCGGGGTAAAAAGGAAGAAGAAGAGCAGCCGTCCACGTGGTGGGGCCGACGTTGATCCGGATCTCTGTACACGTGGCATCCGGCCACGTCAGTCAACTAGTGTCTCCTTCTCTCGTCTCTGCTTTTTTATTTTCTTGCTACTGCTAGCGATATACACCCTCAGTCCTTAAAAAAAATAACTTCTTATTATTATGAGGTGACATATTCTATTATAACGGATCTTGATAACTCTATATCTAAATTTGTTTTTACTAGGATATGTAGTACTCCCTCCTTTCTCTAATATAAAAGATTTTGACATTTTACTTGTATTGTTTAGCCATTTGTCTTATTTTTTTAAAAAAATTAGAATTATTATTTATTTTTTTACTTACTTTATTATCCAAAGTATTTTAAGTATAACTTTTTGTTTTTTATATTTGTAAAAAAAATTGAATAGGACAAATGGTGCAAGCAAAATGGTAAAATCTCTTATATTATGGGATGGAGCGAGTACTAGGTTATTTTTTAGGCTGTGTTTAGTTCCTGAAAAAAGTTAAAAATTTAAGAAAAGTTGGTAGTTTAAAAAAAATTAAGAGTTTATGTATGTAGAAAAGTTTTAGATGTGATGTGATGTGATAGAAAGTTAGAAGTTAGACGAGGGAGTAGCGTGACTATCCAGTTCATTGGACAATCCATCGCTTATCAGAGAGGACTCTCGAATGACAGTATTACCATGCACCGGACAGTCCAAAAAAAAAAAGCCAAATTTAGTTCTAACCTTTTTATTCAAACTTTTAACTTTTTCATTACATCAAAATTTTTCTACATAAATAAACTTTCAACTTTTCCATCATATCATTTCAATTTCAATCAAACTTTTAATTTTTGGTGTGAACTAAACACATCCTTTGCTTAACCTGGGAGGGGACTTCTAAGGTTGTTTTTTTTTTACGGGAACAGTGCACCGTTTTATGAACATCAAATCGACTTTATTAGTTGTCGGGCTCATCGGCTCATGAGAGGCTTTATGGCGGATCAGAGATCCCCCTGTTGAGTAATCGTGACGCCTAACCGTAAAAGCTTTGGCACGGCGTACTTCGCTGCGTAAAATTGATGTCTCCATTTCGAAGTTGTTCGTTGTAATTTCTTTGACGGATTGAAGAAAACGAACACCTCCTCAACTGATTGTGTCTTAATTGTGTGCAACACACTCGTAATAATTCTTCAACCGTGCACGCAGAGATGTTAAACGTTGTTCTGCACTTTGCTGTAACTGTACGCACTTCCTCCGTTTTATAATATAAGTTATTTTAGCATTTCTCATATTCATATTGATATATGTCTAGATTCATTAACATTAATATGAATATGGAAAATGCTAGAATAACTTATATTGTGAAACAGTGGAAGTAGTACGCGACAAGATTAGAGTAGGAATTAGAGGTGTTTTTGTCAACACCGTGAGTAATTGTATTCTGTGACCTGTGTAACTTCGTCCTGGTAATTCCATGTGCAAAAATCAGTATTCCAACCCACTAGATTCAGTAGCAAAACCAAACAATCCAAGTAGCAAATGAGTCAGAAATTTACCAACATGCAGATTAGAGGTGGACTAATTAACCACTAGATTCGAGAATCTTGTATCGTTGTCTCTCTCTCTCTCTCTCTCTCTCTCTCTCTCTTTTGTGACATGAGGTCGTCAAGATGCATGGATGCATGCATGAATACACAGGGCGCAGCAGCACGTATGCTCCTCCGATCCCTCCATTTGGCATTTGCCATGTTCTTCGATGAAACCGACGTATCACCAACTAATGGCACTGCAAGTTATTGTGATCCTCATCACCGATCGATCAGCTCTATTGTTCCGGGGACCTACTTTTCGCCTACACATAAGCATTTTATAGCCCCTTTTTTAAGGGAAGTCGAGATGCATGACGACAAATTAAAGCACGCAAGAGCATCTGCTGCTGTCTAAATTTAGCCCGTGTGAGGTGGCGCCGTCCTATCATATCGGATGAATTTAGAGAATTAAATATATACTACTAATTACATAAATAAAACTAATTCGCGTGATAAATTTTTTAAGCCTAATTAATCTATAATTAACACATGTTTACTGTAACATCACATAGGCTAATCATGGATTAATTAGACTCAATAAATTCGTCTCGCGAATTAGTCTAGGGTTATAAGGTGGGTTTTATTAATAATATACATTTAATATTTATAATTAGTGTCCAAACATCCGATGTGATAGGACTAAAATTAGTCCCATCTGAACCGGGTCGCTTGTCTAGCTGCATGCAGTTGTAGCAGCAGACAACACTGCCTCGTACTGTACGGTACTGCTACTTCTACTCCACTCCTTCATTCATCTTAAAATAAATCAATCTCGTACCGGATATGACACATCCTAGTATTATGAATCTTGACTAGGAATGTGTCATATCCCGCACGATGTTGGTTTATTTTATGATGGAGGGAATATGGAATAGAGTTTAGAATTCTAAGAAACAGTTGATAGGAATTAACTAGTGAAAATCTAAAATAGCTGTGTTTTTAGCTTTCGAGTTCTAAATTATGTTCTGAATTCTATATTTTCATACTCTTACCGTTCTCAAATCTGAAAGAAAATCTAAATGAGTTAAGAGATTTTGAAAGATGCTCCATCTACCAAAAGATCTTGAACAGAACTGGAGCTGGGAGGTAATCAAGCCGGTGATGGCTCAAGGCAGTAGCAAAATTTGGCAATGGATATGAGGAAGCTTTGGGTCAGGCTGGGGAAGCATCTGGGTCACATGCTGCAGGTGCATTGAAGAATGCTACAGTAACGGTCACCAACCCTCCATAAATATAAAACCAAGCACTGCACTGCAGTAATCCCTCACCCACCCCATCCACCGCCATCATCACCTCCAGTCCCCACACAAAATGGTGGTGTTTTCCGGACAAAAGCAACAAAAAACGGATGGATCCCATCACAAATTCGCCGTATAAAAGCATTGCATCGCAAGGTTAAAAACCATTCTGCTGCAGCCATCCATCCATCGTCCATACTCTCTCATCAACAATGATGCAATGCCGTGCATGACAAAATTTGGAAGCTACGTCACGCATGTGATCGGTTATCGCCACCTACCTACCAAATGCTCGAGAACAAAAAAAAATGCAAATGTATTACGCTACCGGTCCAAATTTGGTCCGAACACCTACGAAATCATTCATCCCCAGGAGCAATGGAGATATGGAAATTTTGGAAGCTTACGTTTTCATCAAACAAAAGCGGCCATAGAACACATGAACAGATTGGAATGGATTCATTTTAATTCGTCTTTGCCGAGACATCAAAGACGAAACAGCAAAGCACCGGAGAAGAAGAGAGTGGGCCCCCCCATCCATCGACAAGCAGAGAGCAGGACAGGCTGGCATTTGTCCTCGCCTTTCGTCTCTCCCAAAGCCCACAGAGCCTGGCACTGGGCCCCACCCCCACATCACACACTCTCGCGCTTAATTACCATTTACCACCACTAATCACTCCTTGATCTGGCTAATTAAGTTAAGCCATCGCTGCTAATGACTTAGCACTTGTTGGTGGTGAAGCCGACGGTGGACTTGGCCGTGTCGAAGCTGACGCGGGTCCCCTGCTGCTGCACGTTCCCGATGATGGACACCGCCGCGTTCGTCGGCGCGAACGCCAGGCAGTACGTCCCCGCGCCGTCCACCGGGATCAGGTAGTTCTTCGCCGGCAGCCGGAGCTCGCCGCCGCCGGCGAACCGCAGCGACACCGCGGGGACCTCCACGCTCGTCCGGTCCGACAGGTCGTAGCACGTGTCGAACAGCGACACGCCGGAGGTGCGCGGCAGCGACTGGGTGCCCCGGACGAACGCGTCGCGCAGCGCCGCGTACGCCGACGACTGCAGCCGCGTCACCGCCGTGCCGGAGTCCACGATGACGCCGCCGGCGCCCGTGCTGTCCATGGCGAACGCCGAGGGTGGGATGGAGAGGATCTGGCCACCGACGGAGAGGCCCGAGAGGCCCACGTAGTAGAACGTGCTCGTCCGCGGGCTGCGGATCAGCGGCGCCGTCACCTCCGCGTCGGCGGCGTCGCCGAACTGGAGGGTTGACGAGGAGGGGGAGTCACGGTCGACGAGGCAGTAGGAGAAGGTGGTGGCGGAGATCTGGGACGGGAAGGAGAGTGGCCCGCCGCCGAGGGCAAGCAGCCCCGCCGCGCCGACGAACAGCCCCTCGTTGTCGTGGCCGCAGCCTATGGCGACGCTGGAGACCGGGGCGGAGTCGCCGAGCGTGAGCGTCTCGGTGGCGAAGTCGCCGACGGTGTAGGAGCCGTCGCCGTACGCGACCTCGTAGAGGCAGGCGCCGGTGGAGTTGCGGCAGGCGGCGGCGTCGAGGTCGTGGCAGCGCGGGTTGTCGCAGGCGACGGAGGCGTAGGAGGTGGAGAGGGAAGGGTCGAACACCGGGTCGGACTGCTGGTAGCAGTCGGCGCACGGCTGGCATTGCACCCAGGTGACGTCGCTGCCGGTGTCGAGCACCATGTACAGCTGCCGCGCGGGGCTGCCGACGCCGACGCGGGAGAAGTACTCGCCGCTGCCGAGCCCAACCCCGGACACCACGGGGCCCTGTATCTCCGCCGCCGACGCCTCGAACGCCGTGACGTTGGCCGGCACCAGGTCGAACCGACTCACCCCGTCCGCCGCCATCGCCGCGCGGGCCGACACCGCGGCGGCGCGGGCGGAGTCGCGGCGGAGGCGAGCCAGCACGAGTGACCTGTAGCTGGCGTGCCGCTGCCGCCCCTGCTCCTCCGGCAAGAAGTCCCGGGAGTGGAGCCGCAGGGCCAGGCGCCCCTCCTCGTGCTCCTCCCCGACGACCTCCGTGGACACGGCGGCGGCGGCGGACTGGTGGAGCGGCACGGCCTCCGCGGATACCGCGGCCCGCGCCCGGGACAGCGACGCGGCGACGTCGAGCGTCTCGGTGGCGAGCGGCGGCGAGGCGTGGCGGCGGGAGAGAACCGGCCGTGGCGAGGCGGCGGCGAGGAGGAGGAGGAGGAGGAGAAGCGGGAGGAGGATGGGAGGCTGCATTGCTGCTGATGCTGCTGCTGGTGGTGAGCTGGATGGAGTGAGGAGAGTGAAGGGGAATTTAAGGGGAGAGGAGACGAAGTTGCAGTGGTCAGTCAAGGTGAACGAACGAATGAATGGATCACGTCACTCTTCTTCTTTCTTCTCCAGCTGCTCTCAATGAAATCCATGAATTCATCCATCCATGGCGACAGGTTAAAAAGAAAAATTAACCAAACCTAACAAACTGAGCAACCCCAATCTGTACAGTACGATTGATGTGCATCCTTAACTAAATCGAATCACCATTTGTTAACACATGTAAGCATCGACGAGGTGAAGGGGATTAAGGAATCATGGTGAGCAATTGAAAATTGTGTGGCGCCAGATGTGTTGCGAAACTAACGACGCGTATTATCAAATTTATCATCAGTCAGTCACGGATGCTTTGTTACACAGTTATCAGACTATCAGTAGCAGTATAATTATCACGAGCTGTAGTTGATAAAAGACAAACGCCACCTACGTGCTAACATGCATGTGTTGATTTGGAGGTCACCTACGCACATTTTCTTAACACTCACACGGTCGTCGTCTTTTGCTACTAGCCTACTACCACTATACTTAACTTGAAAAGACTGCTGTTTACTCATCAAGCTTTGATCTTGCATTAGTGACATCTGCAGATCGAGCCAAGTAACCAATCTGATTCATGGCCCATACAATGAAACAAACCGTTTCTTTTTCTACTTAAAACACATAAACTCCACAATTACTAGTAACCGTTTTGCTCTCCTTTCTTCTCCACCCCGTTCCAAAATAAAAAATAAACAATCTTATATATCAATCTAAACATATGTATATCCCGATTTAGAGTCGGGATTTGACTTTTTTTATGAACATATGAAGTATCTGTTTTAATACCGATTATATTAAATTTGTTTTTTAGACGAAGGAAGTAAGCATCAGCATATTCAGAACAGGTTTTACTAGCCAGTTTGTAAGTATTACTACTACTAGGCATGCGTAAACAAGGTAAGAGAATATATCTGGAGCTGAGCCTGCCTGCGTCTCTCCAACAGCAGCGGAAGAAGAATAGAACGGCAGATATATCGATCGTGCAAATGAGCATTTCGACACGTCACACTATTTGTCAAAAACTCTCTTTTGCATACTCCCCCGTCCAAAAAAAAAATAAACCCTAGGTTTTCGTGTCCAACTTTGACTGTCCGTCTTATATGAGGTTTTTTATAATTCGTATTTTCATTATTGTTAGATGATAAAACATGATTAATATTTTATGCGTGACTTGTATTTTTAATTTTTTTTTAATTATTTTAAATAAGACGGATGGTCAAACTCTGGGCATGGAAACCAGGGTTTGTTTTTTTAGGAAGAAGTGAGTAGTAGTAACGGTATGTATAGTAGTTAGTGGAGCAGTAATTACCGTGGCACGACGAGAAGTACAGTAAGCATGTGCTGTAATAAATTATGCGACAGGAGCTAGCGCTGTAATCCACACACACGGACGGAGTACTAAAAGTTGGTTAACTACTTGCCCTTGGTAACAACTCTCTCTGACTCCAAATACAAAACCTTTTAGACTTAATACATATTGTTGCCGTTTATATTTAGGGGTTGCTATTATACGGATCCAAGTTTTACAATGCTATGATTTCTACTGATGAATACTAATAAATCTAATACATATAAATACTAGAATCGATATATCTCACAGATATTTCATATGTGCAAATAGTATCCATTAGCGACTAGGTTTTCATGGCGGTCGCCTCAAGATTGTACAAGAAAGGAAGGATAAATTTAATGACAACCCCTTAGAGCACGTACAATAGCAGAATATAAGACAGCTGTAAACATATTTTAAAGAAATAAAAGATGAGAGAGAAGAGCAGCAGGCTACAGATCTGTAGCCAGCTGCAGCACGGACTCCAAGACGCAGTACATGTATGACAGATGAGACCATATATTAATAGTATAGTAAGCAACTACTCCCTCTGTTTCAAAATATTTGACACCGTTGACTTTTTAAGTACATGTTTGACCATTTGTCTTATTCAAAAAATTTTATGAAATATGTAAAACTATATGTGTAGATGAAAGTATATTTAATAATGAATCAAATGATATGAAAATAATAAATAATTACTTAAATTTTTTGAATAAGACGAACGGTCAAACATGTGCTAAAAAGTCAATAGTGTCAAACATTTTGAAATGGAGGGAATATTATATAAATTAGCTATTAGACTGGCTATAGATAAATTAAAGCTCGAAGTGGGCTATACTAGCTCTAACAAGTCATCGAACACGAACGCGTCGACACTATCGTGCACCTCGACGAGCGCAAATTAAGAAGCGGCCAACGTCCATGGAGCCGCCTTTGCCTCTACAGCAGGGCAGTAGAAAAACAGGTGACGCTGTGACGTTGTGGAGGATAGTGCAGTCAATGACAATGTGCCCTCGGGTTCATCGTACAGATGATACCGCGCTCGGATGCGTGGATAGGATGTCGTCCCCTAAACATTTTGGTATATTTATGCAACATATTGTAAAGACAGGTTGTTTAATTAGCTGGCTTTAAGAAACGAAATTGCAACTTGTAAATTTGAAATCAAAGATACTATACTACTCTACCCAATTCAGAATTTTAGATGCGAATTGATTTAGGGGCTTCTTCATCGCTTCTCTTCTTTCTAAGCTTATTTTTCCGTTATCTCAGTCACTTACTCACCTATTACCTTCTGCTTAAGTCGCAGTAGTAAAATGCCCAGAAAAATAGAAACCGGGAGGACCACAGCGCACAGGGAAGGAAGGAGAAGGCTTGAATGGCAGCATCTGCAATCTGCATGCGACTATACCACCCCCTCTCGATCTGCAGAGGGAACAATGAAAGCCGCCGATTTAGGAGGAAATTCAGACATGGATCATGGATGGTGGAGACGTCCAGTCTCCTGTGTTTCTTTCACCCACTGACCCACCTAGTCTGCTTATTGCTTGTCCATCTATGTCTCTGTGTTTAGTTCACTTCAGACTTTAAAATCTTCCATCACATTAAATATTTGGACATATATATGGAGCATTAAATATGGACGAAAAAAAACCAATTGCACAGTTTGCATGCAAATTGCGAGACGAATCTTTTGAGCCTAATTACGCCATGATTTGACAATGTGGTGCTACAGTAAACATTTGCTAATGACAGATTAATTAAGCTTAATAGATTCGTTTCACAGTTTACAGGTGGAATCTGTAATTTGTTTTGTTATTAGTCTACGTTTAATACTTTAAATGTTTGTCCGTATACGTCAATTTTTTTTCCAAACCAACTATAAACACGGCATATATCACCATGTCTATCAATTTTGCCATGCACTGTACTCATGTATTTCCTTCTACTCCCTCGTCCACAAATATAGGCACAGCAAAGGCCTCATTCTTTTTAAATTTTGGCTACATGAGTTTTTTTAATTGCTAAACGGTATAATTTTGAGAAAAAAATATTGAAGTCTTTCAAAATTTCGAACAAATCCATTTCTTAAGTTTGAGTAATAGTCAATATTTAATTATTCATTCGTTAATTACAAACCTTCTCCCTTAAAGGCGTGGATTGATCGGCCCAAACCCCGTCGTAGAATAGGGACTATAACATTTACATAGACTCTAATATATTACTTTAAATAATAATATATGTATAAATAAAAATAGTTACATACTACTCCTTCCATCCCAAAATATTTAACGCTGTTGACTTTTTTAAATAATATTTGACCGTTCATCTTATTTAAAAAATTTAAGTAATTATTAATTCTTTTCCTATCATTTGATTTATTGTTAAATATACTTTTATGTATACATATAGTTTTACACATTTCACAAAAATTTTTGAATAAGACGAATGGTCAAACATATTTAAAAGAATCAATGGCGTCAAACATTTAGGGAATGAGGGAGTATTATAGTTTTATTTCATGATAAATCTAGTAACTTTATCCTTACGCTGTCAATCTTTAGGAGTATTTTTTTGCTATTAACATTTTAAGTTAAAAAGGTTTAACTTTGTAGAGATAGGGAGTGTGTTCCAAAGCCTGCTTGCTGGTTGTCCAGAGGTACTGAAGTATCAGTAGGAGTAGCACCTAATAGGCAAGCAACTACCTTGCCATCATGTGTGCTTGGTCTTTGTGGAACACAGCAGATGATGCATCATGTAGTGGTGGTATCCTTTTCCTCTGCGGCATCTCTGTTTCAGTGTGGCTAGTTGTTGTTTGCTCCTGTAATCTCCAAGAGCTACCATGTTTGGTAGTAAAATCCAGTGCCATCCGTTCCATCCACAGGGATGGGCCAGAGATAGTGGGCTGTCCAAACAGGCCTAAATCCACTAACAACTCTGTAATAAGTGTACTGATAACTAGTACTACCTCCGTTTGAGAATACATGAGCTTATTCGATTAGAAGTATTTTCAAATCACAGGAATATAAAAAGTAAATAATTGGAATGTTACATGCACTCTAATCCATAGAAATTTTTTCAAGAGGTCTTACCTCGTGCTAAAGATTATAAGGAATATGGTTATAAAATTACAATTCTTAGTAAATTGGTATGATCTATTTCTGTGAAATGAATGATGCATAGAGAAAAAAAATCCTATAATTTCAATTCCTGCAATAATCTTTTAAAAATCCTTTGTACCGAATGAGATCTAAGTGATTTAATTTGCCCAGTTACATAGAATGAATCTTTTTGTATTCTCGGATGGAGACAGTACTAAGTAAAAAAGAACCTTTTCTTCTTTATGAGAACATTATATAGCTACTCCAATGCACCTCGCACTGAATGAATATACAGAATAGCTTTTGTGTCATGATAATAATTTTCAAAGGTACTATAATCTCTTTACCACATACTACTGTAGTGCTCTTTAAGCTAAACGCATGAAAGTTAATTACACCCACATGTCACATATGGCCATATGGGAATTAATTAATCGGCAACAACCAGCCCGGACAAGAATCTTACAAGCGAAGTGCTCAAGAAAGTGTAAAGCATAGATGCACTTGAACAACATCCTGTGCGTTAAAAATTATTTTCGTTTTGGGCCTTTTTTTTTTCTTATAAATGGTCACTAACCTTAACTGCTTTGTCAAATACCTACATACCAAATTTTAACTCATAATCTATTTTTAGTTGCTTTGTTTCTTTCCACATATCTGAAAAACTTGGTTATGTTTGTATAACAACATATCCCTACGTATGATGATTTTTTAATGGATTTGCCACCTTTTACT